CTGTACATGCATTTGTTCTCATGCTGTTTATATATTGGTAATATGCCGTATTTTATATGTATTGTGAACTGTTTAACAATTTTAGGAAATTAGGCAGTGCAAAAGAAGTATGAATAAATGAAATAAATCTACCTTTAAGCTGAAATGCCTTTATCTTACTTATGGAAAACCTCAGACAGGAAAGAAGAATTTATTCTGAAACATCAAACAACCAAATTTGCTGTTAAAATGGAACCTATTAATCCCAGCATCATGAATAAGCAAGTTGAATAAAGGGTGTCATTTAAGAAGGCCCTTATGATGTTATACTTCATTGTATGAGGTGTCCTTTGTTTGAAAAAGAGAACTGATAGCACACTGAGAATGTGGAATTAGGCAACACACCCTGTAATGGTTTAAAAAAAAACTTTGCTGGGACTTTACTTCTTATCAACACTGTAGCTGAAATTTTAAAAATTTCTGGTGTAAACAAAACCAGAAATGGTGGGAAATGGTTTTCAATGATGATGTCACCCACTAAAAATGAGAAATGGAATCAATTGATTGCACTGGACTTTGTATCTTTGTTTTCTGCCCCAAACTGTAAAGGATAACCGAGGTTGAGCACTGGGTATAAGGTGCATGCACATTTTAAAAAATGTTAAGTAATCAGAAAACATGTTTTAAAAACCACAGGGAAAAGCAGAAGCAAACCAATCACCACCCATGGGCATGTACATGATAAAGCAATCTTGTGCCTTAAATAGTCTTTCCCCATTAGTGAAAGCGTATTCTTTAAGTTGCTGAAAAGAACCTAATGAAAAGAACCTGACTCATGGGTTCCCCAATCTCCATCCTAAACCGAAGTCCCATCCTCCTGGAAACTGCCTTCACTGGCATTTCCAACTAGCAATGAGAAATAAGAGGGTGCTTAAACTGTTGCACAGGCCTTACACCTGAGGAAATTTGCTTAGAACTCAGGTTGCCTTACATGTTTGATAGGAAAATGTCCAAGATGGTAAGAATTGCATCTCACTCCAGTGTAGTGTGGTGGTTGCAGTGTTGGACTGGGGACCTGGGAGATCCAGCTTCTAGTCCCCATTTGGCCATGAAGCTCACTGGGTTACTCACTCTCAGCTTAAGCTACATCACAGGGTTGTTTTTGTGAGGAGAACATGGAGTGGAGAAGGCCTATGCAAGCCACCCTGGCTTCTTTGCAAGAGGATAAAAGGCAGGACATGACTGCAATGAAAATAGTCTGCCTTGCCCAGTCCACATTCTCTGCCTTTGGTTTTGCTCTGCATGCCCTTATCTCACCCAGTACTGGAATGCACTCCCCCAAGACCCTTCCCAACTTGGGATTTTTGCACGCAGGCCAAAAAAGGCTCTCCATCCCTGCTGTGTATGTAAGCTTCTGAATTCCACAGAACATTTCTTCAGGAAGAACCAGCGGCCTGAATCTCCTCCAGCATTCCCTAATTAACATGACTCATAAATGCTTTTCATAATTCTGCCTTGCCTCATACATTGCCCACACTGCTCCTTCATTCAGCCCCGTCCCCGAGAAGGAATAGAGATGCAGAAGGAGAGGAAACAGGCAGGCAGCTGTCATATCGATAGCATCCAGTCACACCCTGGCAGTAAAACCTGTGCAGCTGGCTGCCTCAAAATTGCAGCGTGCCACACCTAGCAAAAAACCGTTGGGAAATGTGGCGATCACAGAATGTATCCTGGATTCTGTGATTCAGGCTGTGCAAGATCTTCAGCTGGACACATGCGAACAACTGGAACTGGAAGGAATCCAGACTTTCTCATCTGGAGGAATACACAGTGTTCTCCCAAAAGCCTTGCTTGGGAGGTACCTGCTTTTACCACTGGCCTCCCTTTCCCTCACTTTGCATTCATACCTGGACGCCCTCATTGCGTTGGTCAATTTCACCTTCCCTTAGCATGGACCCCATAAAGGAAGCCACAGTCTGGAACTAGAAGTGCTGAGCGGGGCTGGCATGGATACAGCGTTCTGGAGGGCTTTTCTTGACAGGGTCACCCCAAGGATTGCAACAACACAATTACAAGTGATTCCAAGAAATAAGCCTGCTATTTTGCAAAACGGCTTCAGTGTCTTTCCAAATCATAAGAACAAATGTTCACAGAACATAAACTGTAAGAGCAACTCCAACTTGCAAGACCTCAATCATCAAAAGATAAACTTTTGTCAACTGAGCTTATCTCTGTGCAGGTTTCTCTTCCTCAGGGTTCCTGTGGCACCTTGAAGACTAAGAAATTCCTAGTGCCAAAATGTTTGTAGTATCAGCAACAGCTGCACTGTGAATAACGTGACTGTCACTTTGTTTAGTCTATTGATTTAGAAAATTCTTGTACTGTACTACATCCAGGAGAATTCCCAAGCAATGAACAATAAAAAGGAAGAGGAAAAAGGAACCAGAATACAGAAATAAAATCTTTAAAATCATGGGTGCTAATAAAATTGTAGTCAGGGTATTCTTGTTTGAATAAAAATGTCTTCAGTGGATGCTGAAATGGAAACACTGCTGGTGCTAATATCTATAGGCAGGGAGTTCCAGAGACAAGGGGCCAATACACTCAAGGTTCTGCTCCAAACGGACTCAATACAGACCAGTCCATGTTTGGAAACAACAGGAGTGCCACACAGTAGGACTTCAGGCAGGCTGGCATGGTACTTTCAGCATTTAATGTCCTTTTGACTTCGTAACTTACCATTCTTCCCCTGCTCCCATCTCCTCCCACATCACCAGGTGTACTGCATATATACCTGAAACACCTGACAATTCTTCAAGAAGTGATCCATGAAAGATTGTGGCAGAGTAAATTTATGAGACTTTCATGTGACACAAACCCCCTTGCTGTTTTTGCTGGAATAGGCTCTGCCAATTGCCCCTTCTTTCTGCCTTTAATTCGACCAAGTTCTCAATCATTTCTAAACAGAAGGTCTCCAGGAATAAAATGGCATGCAACACACCTCGTCTAACCTGGATAGCTCCCCGCCCCCTCTTGAATATGCTCAGTCAGACTGTAGTTTGCACATACTTAAAAGCACTTTGAGGTTTGCCTCATGCCCCATCAGTGCCTCCTCTCTGGCCCCTGGCTGAATGGCTTCCCCTCCCCTTGCTGCCACTTCGGTCATTTGCTTCCCTTCTCCAGTGCAGAGCAAGTTGAGCACAAAAATTATCTTAACCTCCTGCGTCTCCCACTCTGCAGTCCAGGTAGATGGACAAGTTTGCAATTTCAGCCAACTAGTTGCAGTGCTTTCGACAGGGAGGGAAGGGGACTGGAGTGCATGCTGGGATACAGTCCCCCACCCCCAAATGTCCCCTTTCTCTGTGTCTGAAGCCTCTCTGATGACCTTGCAGAAGCAGCCAGCAGTGTTCTTCCCACAACTGCAAGGCACGGCAATGGAGATCCCAGCTCCAAGGTCAGAGCTTTGTCTCCCACTTGAGAAGAGTCCTATTAGCCCCTAGATGTTGTTGTTAGTCGTGAAGTCGTGTCCGACCCATCGCAACCCCATGGACAACATTCCTCCAGTCCATCCTGCCCTCCACCAACCCCCGGAGTCCACTTAAGCTCACACCAACTGCTTCAGTGACTCCATCCAGCCACATCATTTTCTGCCATCCCCTTCTTCTTTTGCCATCCATTGTTCCCAGCATTAGGCTCTTCTCCAGGGAGTCCTTCCTTCTCATTAGGTGGACAAAGTATTTGAGTTTCATCTTCAGTATCTGGCCTTCTAAAGAGCAGTCAGGGTTGATCTCCTCTAGGACTGACCGGTTTGATCACCTTGCGGTCCAAGGGACTCGCAGGAGTCTCCTCCAGCACCACAATTCAAAGGCATCAATCCTTTGGCACTCAGACTTCCTTATGGTCCAGCTTTCACAGCCATACATTGCAACTGGGAAAACCATAGATACTGTCCAGGAAACCAAATAACCCCTCTATAAGATAGTTGTTCATGTCTGTAGTTGAACATGTGGAAACTGGAAGCTGGAGAGTGTGCATAGTCATCTAAGTGATAACTTACCTAGTCCACATATTCAGCTTTCTTTGTTCTTTTGTTACAGAATTTTTATCTTGCTCTTCCATTCAAAGGGCTCTTAGACTGGCTTAAGTATAGCTAATTCATGTACAACAGTTCCTTTCTGCAGTCTTATAAAAAGACACAAGACAAATGGGGAAAAGGCGGAGGAGGAAAGAGGAAAGAAAAACAAACAGTCCTCCAGGACGGCTGGTAGAATGGTGCCACTGCATCTCACAAGTCCTATTGGTGTGGCCTGTTAGTAATCACTTTCAAACAAATGCCTTCCATGTGTAAACCTATGCATATAAGGGGATTTTTCTGCCAATGGTACTCGCATTGGCTTGCCTTTGCCAAATCCACCCTGTCATACTTGCATCGGGGTGATACCTGAAAGCCATTTGCAATTAGTCTCCCTACACAGCCGTCACTTTGCATTACCTGGGGATCCAATCATGGCAGGACCCACCTTTCAGGTGGTACTGAACAAGGCCCCACTGGAGAGGAGCGGAGAAAGACCAGCAAATACTACAGGATGGGCAGCGGGGCAGAGAGCTTTGCCTCAACCGACAATCAGCAATAAACGAACCCCTGGACATTCGGTGATGTCACTGCGACGGGTCGCTTCTAGATACCTTGTCCCTGCCCTCTGCGAACAGGGCTGCGGCGGGGGATGCAAGGAGAGGGAGGGAGGAAGATCTCTTCTCCTCCCCAGACTGCCCCCCCCCCCCCCCCCCCCGTCCTATCCCCCCCCCCCAAAATGTCTCTGCGCGGGCCGAGAGATGCGCTCCCCCTCGCTGCGCCTCCACGGGAGAGACTCCCAGGAAATTCCGCCGGGAGGAAGCTTTCCCAGACCTCTTCCCCCATCGACCTCACCGCCCTCCTCCATGCTTAGGAGGAGTTTCCAAAAGGCCCCACGCGATCCTGCGGGGGAGGCAAGCTCGCTCCGCCCCCGTCCTCCCGCCTTATAAAGCGCGGAGCCGCATGCCTGCCGCGGGAACACGACCCGCGCTTGGAAGCTCGTCGGGAGGGGCAGGCAGCGCGTCAGCTCTCGACCACCGACCCTGTAAGTCCTTCCCTTCCCGTCCGCTCTTGCTCTTCCCCGCAGGCGGCGGACCCCCGCCCCCCAGGCCTCCCGCAGGGGTTGTCGCCTTTCCTTCCCCCGAATCGGCTTCTCCTCGGGCTGCCCGCCTGCATTGCCATGTGTCGGCGCTCCACGAAGCCGGGGGGACTGGTGAACCACCAGCTGAGCCCTCCAAGGGGGCTTGCGCAACGGCAAACGTTACAGCGGCGGGCTTGAGGCACAGCAAACTACGGGAATTTGTTCTTTTTCTTCTTTCTCGCACGCACGAGGATCCACGTGGAATTTGCTTTCCCCAAGTCCGTGCCCTCGGGACGTTTGGACGGTCATCCCCGTCATCCCCGGCCATGGGCCTTGCAAGCTGGGGCTGATGGCAGTCGAAGCCCAACGCCTCAGGAGGGCACCGGGTTGCTTCCTTGGGAGAACCGCTTATGAGATGTTAGTATATTAAGCAGTATAAAAGTATTAGAAACAAATGGACACGCGTCGTTGAGCTATGCAAACCGTCTAGAGAGAGGGCCCACGGGGGTGTTTACAGATTTGTGACTTTGCCTTTCACTCAGTGGCTGCAGTGAATGTGAGTCCGAACAGTACTGGAAAGCAGGTTGCGTGCAGAGGGGGTTAAGTCAGCAGTGCTGGTTCATACACACCGGCACTATCTGCAGATGCTGTATGTGTGAATCAGCCACAGATCCAAATACTGTACCCCATAAATCCACACGGGAGTGGATATGGAACTGGACGCCTGGTCCTGAATATTGGAATCTCATGAGACATATTTTATTAGGGTTGGATCAGCAGATCCATATTTGAATTCTTGCTAAACTCAGAATTGCACAATAAGATCTGAGAATGCAGTTCCAGTTTTGGGAAATATTCTGCCTTTCACACACTTTTAATGTTATTTTATGTTACTGTCTGAGACTGTTCTACACATGGCACTGAAAAACACATTTAAAGGTTTCTGCCGTGCTTTTTGGCTTTCTGCCGTGAGAATGGTGTGGCTGGCTGAGTGCACACAGAACTGAAACATAACCTGCATTTTATGGTCTGATTAATATTGTTGTTATTATTATTTAATTGTATCTATATCCCGTGGTTTACATAGCTCCGTTTTACCTTCACAACAATATGCATGTGAAGAAGGTTGGGTTGGGAGTCCATGGCTGGCCCAAAGTCACCCAGTGAGCTTCATGGCCGAGCCGGGACTAGAACCTGGAACTCCCAGGTCCAGCCAGTCACACTAGCTCAATGACAGTCTTCCTATCATGTGCATGTTTGCTTACAAGTATGAGTTGGACTGAGCTTAGTGGAGCTCCCCTCTAAGACATCCTGTTTAGGTTGAAATTTTTTTTTTTTAGGTTGAAATTTTTTATTTAAATAAAAACATACTACAAAAGTCACAAAAAGGCACAAAAATTGCAACATTACAAAAATAGAAAAATACCCCATCCATTATTTACATGGTTTCAAAATGCCAAATGTACACACATTTACAGGATTCCCAAGCTTTACAAATCAAATTTACAAAAAGAACGTTCTATAGACTTCTCCGGATAGGTTCGTGCCATGTGTCTCAGCAACATGTATGAGTGGTTTACGTACATTACGTGATCGGGGCATGAGCCCCACTCAACCACGGCCACAATTTCCTGTTTGGGGTTGCAGCCATAGCTGATGTATCGCTTGATTTTATGTAAGAAAGAAGCAGTAGGTTTGTGTGTACAGAGAGGAAGCAAAAGAGACTCTTTTATAGTTCTAATGCACATTCTGGCCATGTGGATCTTGGAAGTGATGTATGGTATGAGTGTTTGCCATGGAAGTGATGTGCTCCAGAAGTGTACAGGGCAGCTTCCCCAACATGGTGTCCTCCAGGTGTATTGCACTGCAAGCCCCATCATCCCCACCAGTATGCCAGACTGGCTGTGGTGTGTAGCCTAACACCACAGGCTATAGCTGCCAGTCTGGGGAAAGCAAATGTAAGGAGAAGTTCTCTTCTGGTACTTGTGTCCCAGGGCTTTAAAGCTTTTGCTTCTAATGAGATGTTCCTATTTTCCCTGTGCCAGAAATTGAATCATAGCTTGCAATGAGTGCTGTGGAAACTGACAGCCATGCATTGTATTCACGATCATTCAGCTGCTGTGGGTTCTGAAGCTAGGCAAGAGGTAGCGATGATAGAGAAACCAGCAGCAGCTTCAAAAGAGTTTGGGTCTTTATGACTCTCATCTGTCTGCAGCAGTGTGGCTTTCCTAAGTCACATGGATTCTGCAGACCATTAAAAAAAAACTTGTTTTACCTTTTAGAATTTTATGCAAATTTAGTGATAACAATATTTTTAACAAGACTGAAAACGTGCATTTCTTCCCGTAGACTGAAGAGTGAAAATTCCCACTGGAGGGATTCATACATTTTTAGAAGTGTGAATTTGTGCAAGTATGTGGATGCATTTGTGCGTTCATATGTGCTTATGCACAAAATCCAGTTCCTTCAGGGAGCTGAGAATCCAGCAGGCAGCATTGATTGAACCCAGTCCATCCATTCCCAGTAGGAGGTCTGTCAGGGAGAACGTGCAGCAAGAGAAGATTTCTGCTGTCCTGCAGGCTTTAAAAACTCTAAACTGCTAACAAGCAAAGCCAGGAGGCAAAACCCATATTAGAAGCAAGCAGCACCTTTTGTCCAGTTAGCCTGTGGGAGAAGAGTGTGGAAAGACCAGCTCTTCCTAGTGCTATAGATAGCTAGATCTCAAGCCACTGATGCCTTGGAGGTTCTTGCTGTTAAAGCTGATTCAAAGTCTTCAAAAGAAGATATTGTTTGGTGCTTTAGATTTATTGCTCTTACAACATAATCTAGGGAAGGACAAGATTCATATACAACTGAGTTGCTTTGCCTGTCGCTAGAAAGCTCTTCCTGGGGTGTACATTTAATGTCAAACTGCAAGATCCTATGTACGTTTACTCAAAAGAGCCACTGTGTTTAATGAAACTTATTGCCAAGAGATCTGTAACATTATATAGATCTGTCCTGTACATACATCCAGGACCAAATCCTGCAGATCCAGGATTTTTTTTTTTTTTTACATCCATAAAAAGTGGAGTTTTCTGTGGAATAGTAAGGCAGAAGTATTTTATCTGTCTCCAAAAAACCATCAGCCCATATAAACACAGAGAATTCCGACCACCCAAGTGCTACAGAGAGCAGGAAAGGGCATGGGACACTACAGTGAAACAAGAGCTTCACTTGCCCCAGAACAAAGCGGCTTCTTCAGAGCGCTGCAAATTTTAGATGCTTACAAAAATACTTGAGAGAGTGTGTGTGTGTGTGTGTGTGTAAAATTGTTTTAAACTGTAAACACTATCTCTTGAAGTCACTGAGGTTTTCTCCTCAGTGGGATGTCGTAAATTGGTTTCCTGCACTACACAGGGTTGGACCCGATGGGCTTCATCTTCCTACTCTACTATTCTATGATTCTCCCTCACAGAACAGGATGCAAATGCAACTCTAGTTTATTTGCAGTTATCTCATAGCCACACATGTTCCAACTGTTTTAGATGGTTGATTATCTTTAATTACTGGAGTCCCAGTGATGAAACAGCTCAGCCTGGTGGGAAATCAAACTTAGCAGTTAGGGGAAAAGAGGGTAGTCTTCTTATGGATCAATAACTAGTTAAAATAGAAAGCAGGAGGTAGAAGAAATGATGCTTTCTCTCAGTGGAGAGATGTAAAACATAGGATCCCACAGAGACTGGTGCTTTTCAGCTTATTCGTACATGAACTGGAATTAGGAATAAGTGGGGAAGTGGCAATATTTGTTGATGACATCTGAGTACTACGAGTGGTTAAAATAAGAAGGGATTGTGAGGAGTCCTAAAGGATCTCTCCAAATTGGAGGAATAGGAATCAAAATTACAAATAGAGTTCAAAGTAAGCAAGAATACACAGATGAATATTGGAAGGAAAAAAATCCCAGTTTCAAGTATAAGCTGATGGGATCTGAGCTAGCAGTGACCAACCATGAAAGAGATCTTGGGAATTGTGGTGGGCAGCTCAATGAAAGCGTCAACTTAGTCAATTGTAGGCACCATTATGGTTAAAAGCTGAAATGAAAACGGCTCTTCATAAGATGAGAACTATCAATGGTGTATGACTGTGTCCTGGGTAGCATGGGCGGAGGGGTACCATTGCGCTTATGTCCTGCTTGTGGGTTTTCCATGGGCACATTCTGTGTAAACAATGCTGGATTAGATGGACCCTTGGCCTGATCCAACATCGCTCTTGTTATGCTCCTGGGTTCCATTTCGACAGAGAAATTGCTCTGCCCACCATCCACTACAAGCCTTACTTATGAAAAGTGCTTTGCTCTTTGTAGTCTTTAAACAAAACCACATGAACTGCATGAGCGAAAGCTTTGGAATAGGAATGATGACTGAATTAAGGCAGGGGAGTTATAGCAAAAAAGGGGGAAGTGAAACAGACGCATATATCCTTCTAGCTATAGATTATTTTCATTTATTTAGTTATATCCTCCCTTATTTTTTTAACAAAATCAAAGTGGCTTACATCATTCTTCTCCTGCTCTCAGTCTCATCTCCACAACAACAACCCTGTGAAGTAGGCTGGGCTGAGAGTCTGTGACTGGCTCAAAGTCACCCAGTTGGCTCCATGGCTGAATGAAGACTAGAACCCAGATCATGCCCTTAACCACTACATCACACTGACTCTCATTAACACCAGTATGCCTCATTATTTAGAAAATATTTGACAAGCCAATACAGAACATTTTGATCCATGATTTAGATCCACCTTTCTTATCTGGTGATGATTAAAAAAAAGTTTAAATTGCTGATTTAAAGTGCCTTGAATTAAATCATACCAGTCAGCTTTTAAAAGCATAATAATTCTCTAAAAGAAGTATCAAGCTAAGATAAAGACCAGTTTAGCCTTTTCTTTAAAGTGTGCATGTCTGGGAATTCTGGAATGCAGTAAGAGAAAGGAAGCACTTCAAAACATGCATCCCTTCCCCATAATTCTTTGGGAACATTTCATACTTGGGAAACTGTAAAGCCATTGTTTTGTTGATCCAATCAGTGTCACACTGAGAGATGTATCCTTCCCTTGAGGGGTAGGACAGGCAAGATTTCCAGCTTCCCTGTCACCACAACAGATGATGGTGATTATTATTATTTTAGGGTTATTCCAAACCACTCCTTGTGGCAGTTCCGGTGGCCAGGCTGCTTGCATGGCCTGAGTCATTATTTTTCCTTTCTGCACCTCCCTGGTAAAGTCAGCCTGGATTTCCCCTGAAATTAATGACGGGCATTCCATTGGCATCAGCAAAATTGTCTTAATGTTCAGGCAGATTTTGGTGTGGATTTGTATGCTGGAGGCCAGAGGGAACAAAAGACTATTTTGCACAGAGTACCTGGAAGAGAGACTGATCTGGCCTAAGTCAGGCATGCTATCGTGGCATCCCACTTGGAATTTAAAACTGTACTTTGGTGACACTGCCTTTGGAAGAAGTTTGGACACTGCAGCTGGGCCAGGATTCTGAGGGCAGACGCTGACCCTGGGCTGTTTACAGAAACCATGTGAGTTCCTCGTTACAACAGCTTCGCTTGGCAACTGGTCTGTTTCTAGAGCAGTTCATACTGTGCCAGGGCAGGCTGCCTGGACCTACATCTTCTCCATACTCTGAGTCTGGTCTGAAGGCACATAGGGCATCCACCATGTTGCACCTAAGCAGGTCTGCAGTTGGCCTGAGCTTGGATGGGAGACCACTGGGGAACCTCATGTAGCCACCTTGAATTGGCAGAAAGGTGGGATTATAAATACATGAATAAATATGAAAGGTGGGATTGTAATGGCAGAAAGGTGGGATTGTACATACATGAATAACTATGTGACCAGCCCAGAAATAAAGCTCTTTGCAGAGAATTGCCACTGTTGGAAGTGCTGATGGTGGGGGTTTCAGGCAGGGGTTTTGCCTCATGATGGCTAGAATGACAATCCTTCACCCTGTAGCTTTATTTATTTATTTTTCGATTTATATCCTGCCTTTTTCCTACAAAGGGCTCATGGCAGCTTACATCATTCTCCTCCTCCATCTTATCCCCACAACAACAACCCTGTGAGGTAGGCTGGGCTGAGAGTCTGTGACTGGCCCAGAGTCACCCAGTTGGCTCCATGGCTGAGCGGGGACTAGAACCCAGATCATCTGAGTCCCAGTCCCATGCTCTTAACCACTACACCACACTGGCATTACCCTCCCCTCTGACCCTCACGGCCTCTGGTGCCCCCAGAGGACTTACCAAGAAAGATTAAAAAATAAAATGAATGGCCAATTCGTGCTGGCAAGCACGAATTGGGTCAAATTTAATAGCGCCTTTAGAAGCTGAGTTGGAGGCACCCCTGCAGCTTGCAGTGGGCATCTGGGGGTGAGGAGGAAAGGGCGCAGGTAGGCCGTGCAGTCAGCATCCCAGCATGCACTCTGGCCTCCACTTGTCACAATGGGACCCAACCCCAAAGGAGTTTTCAATCTAAATTTCAACCACAGAGGAAAGAAAACAGGGATGCGTACAAATAAAAGGATTAGCAGAGTCATTGTCTATAACACCATTCCCCATTCAGTGTCTTCTAGATGCAGAAGGCTACAGAACCAATCATCCCCAGCCAGCAATAGCCAGTCTGGAGAGTGCCATGTTGGGAAAGTTGACCTTTGAAATTTCAGCGGGGAAGGGGACTGGAGAAGTACACACAGAAGGAACACATTTTTATCTTTAAAAAAAAGTTCCTGTGTTTGTTAGCCTGTATGAATGCCCTTTTCTTGATGGAAAGTCAGATAAATATATGAATGAAAAGGACCTGATCCAGATGGACTCTTCCCTCTCCCCAACATACACATACACATGTGCAGGGCGATCTACTACCTGCTTCTCTCTTCAATCTGTGATTTTTAAAATATGTTAATATTTTGGGGAATTTTATTTCAAAAATTGGTATGGCTTGTAAGCCTGCTAGGAAGAAGAGAAAGGCAGCTTAAATGACAACTGGATTCTGTCTCTAAACAGAAGCCAAAGGAAGAAACAAGCAATCAAGTATAGTAATAAAATCCAGGCGTTTAACATGAGCTCAGCTCAGTGTCATGTGGAACATGAATGTTCTTGGCAAATCCATTTTATGAAATAGCGAAGGATAAGAAATGCATGGAGAAAAACAAATCTCTGAGATCCAACAGTTTGCTCATACTGGATATTTGCTTGCATTTCCTCCTTGCTTCGATTCCAAAGTGTGTTGGCAGACTTCGGATTCATACAATCCCACATAACGTGACTGACGTTGATAGTAATGCTGGTAATGACGTGTGAGGTGCAGTTGAGCACACCTTGGTGGAAGCCTGCCTGTGTGTTGCGTTGTGCAAGCTTCGAACAGCATGCGCCCAAGGGGGAGCTTTAGGACGGCAAAGTCACTGGTCAAGGACAAAATTGCCAGTTGAATTAAACTTCCAAACCCATGCAAACAAACTCACCAAAGGAAATACAAATGGCAAATCCAGAGAAATTGGACCATCTGTTGGCGTTCACAGATTCCACACATGTGACCACACAATGCTCCCTAACCTCTTGGATGTGCCACCCCATGTTTCTGTCAGCCTTCCTCTGCCTGGTGCCCTCCCAAACAGCTGCTTGACTACAACTCCCATCATCCCTGAGCATTGCCCCTGCTGGGATGATTGGAGTTGTGGAGAGGTCTGGATTGAAAAAGGCTAGAATAAGTGCTTGCCTTAAAAACAATGGCATTTAAAATTAACCAACATTAATTGGTCACCTTTTAAATCGATTTACTCAGATTGACTCAGCTTGCCTTCCTATGCACATTTATTATTATTATTATTATTATTATTATTAT